TTACTCACCCTCATGTCATCCCAAACTTGTATGACTTGCTTTCCTTTGCGCAGCACGAAAGTGTTGACTCCATTGACTTTTATTGTATATTAAAGATATTTTGTGTTTCACAGAAGAAAGTCATAAGTGTTTGGAATACCTAAATCAAGACAGAACTATCATGTTGGGTGAACTATTCCTTTAACGTGATGTCATCAAGGAGGACATTCATGGATCTACACCCTTTTTTGGTCCTGGAACAATAAGGTATTGGGTTGAAACGGTTTGTTTGATGAATGTTGTTCCAATAAAAGGTATCCTACTGGATATCCTTCTTGGCAGTCACCAGATTTGTTGGTGCGTGAACAGTACTTCATGAATGTGATCTAACAGCTCCTCCAATGACAGTACGTGAGAATATGATGGAGTTGTTGATCCATGACAAGTTCTAAGCAGTCCAGCATTTCTATCAGACGCTCTTCCTGACCACTCAAGTTAACTGACGATTCATCTTCATCTCATCGGCCAAAAGGAACCGAAGGGCCATACTGAGCTTGAGTGACCCGCTTTAGCCCCATGTCAACAAGTATCAAGTAGTCCATCCTTCTCGTCCAGCCAGAGTTTCACGCTTCAGGGACTCATGGGTAACATGGCACGCTGTGGTAACTCTGGTGGGATTGTCAGCAGCTGTCTGGTGTCTTTCCTCCCTCTCTGAGAACCAGGAGGCGTCACGCTCAGTCAGCCACCAAATGCTGGCATAAATCGACACAGTGACTTCCCAGCCACTGGCCCTGACTCCACGGCTCTGCATAGCTTATAAGGTGTCATGCTTGTCAAGATGCAGATAAAAGCCTTTTGAAGGTGATGGGGATCTAATTTTGGAAGATTAGTTCCAGAAACAACCGACAGAGGGCTCTACCGAGTCCTGTCCATGAACTCTGTGAAGGGAAAAAAACACGGTCACTACAGGTTCACGTGGCAATCAGACAGACTTCAGGCAGAGGTCAAAGCATTTTCAGTGAAAACTGTTTTTGAGAATAGTGCGCCACTATGGTTTCCTCAAACATCCTCATTCGGTTTTGAGAGCATTTCAGGCCTGGAACAAACCTACTTACTTTACCATGTGAATATTTTTTTGTTAATGAAATATGCTGTAATGTTCAGTATGCTAAAATATAATTATTTAATTAAAATACGAATATACTGACACACATAATGTGTGATTCTTCAGTGGTATGATTCTAGCTTTTGACATAAAGCCTGTGATGTGCAATTTTTAACTAAGCAAATTGTCCTTGCATATAAAGTACGTATATTAGAAACGTGGGCATTTGGTTCCATATTATTATGCGATTTCGCTTGAACAGAGATGTGTGCATGTCAGAAGAAGGCACATGTGATGCTTTATAACAGTGTCACTCCAGGTGAAAGAAGCATAAGGCTTAATTTTGGAAACTTTAAAGGTGTTTTTATGTGAGTACAGTTGCTAAAAGGATGAAATTGATCAGACAAAAACTGGACTGGAGTCCAGAAATGGAATGGAGTGATGAAAAAAAAAGTTTTCCCAGTGAAGGCCCTGAGTGCAAAATGTGACATTGTTTATTAGTGGTCATGATAAAACAAGCATATCTGTTTTGCAGTTTTCGCTTGGTGGACAATACATTAGGCAATAAAAATCTGGCAACCCCACAACACTGTAGCATTGTGGTTTTGCATGGACAAGCAACTCGCCTGTTACTAGCTCCTCTTTTTTTTTTCTCAAGACTCTCACCCCTGCACTCTGCTGGAATGTAGATGGTGGACAGCTGACTGTTCTTCCCACTGGCCCTGAGCAATAAGAGGGTGTTTACACAGACAGTCCCACCCCTCCTCTCATCACCAACTGCAAATGTATATCTTTTCGCTGGCTGTGTTTCTAATGCACCGGAAGCGAAAAGCTTCCTCCAGAGAACCGAAGAATTCTCACATTATCTTTTCATTTCTGCGCGTCAATACAGATTAATGTCAGGAAGAGTTTCAGAAAGTTCAACCGATTGAGTTGAATTAAATCAGAGATTTTAATGCATAAACACATTAATTACCGAGGTGCGCAGAAAGGTTACTTTCGTTCATGTCCGCTGTGTCAATCAAATTCTGAAATATGCTAAAGGGGGGTAATATCTCTAAATTAATAGAATTACAGAAATGATAGTAATGATATTCATTGTGAAAATCACTTCTCAGTACATTTTTAATATTCCTACGGTGCCAATTTCCTCAACGATTATGAGCAGGTAGTTAAAGATCTGATGAATCACAGTGTTTATGAAATGCGCACATTCTTCTGGGTTCACCTCCGGCTCAGACTTGAGTAATTGGTCAATCGTAAACTAATTCTCATAAATCAAAACAATAACCTTTTTTTTTGGCATTTTGGCATCCAACCTAAACTTCTAACAGATTCTGCAGCCTTGACTTTCATCTAAACCTTCACTGCACATGCTGAAAGTGTCTCTCTTCTCATCAATTCTGACTCATTGACTCACAGAAACATATTGTTCTTTCATAATATCAACCTTGACTTTCATTTTCCATTTCATGAATATTATAATTGTGATATCTACATGCATACACTCTTATAGATTTAAATGACCTCTGATGGCAATAATATTGAAGTATTATTAGTATATATAGCATTTTCATTATGGATATACAGAAGAAACTGCATTTTGAATGTCATTTCACTGAATGTCACCTCCACACTAAAAATGATCATTATGCTGTTAACTAGCCCTCTTGTTGTGTTTGGGTCATTTGAACCCAGAGAGAATTTTCTTTTATTCCGAAAATTCTTGTTAAAGGGACAGTTCACCCAAAAATGACATTTCTGTCATCATTTACTCACCCTTAAGATGTTCCAAACCTGTATGTTTCTTTCTTCTGTCAATAATAAAATAAGATATTTTGAAGAATTTTGGTAATCAAACAGCTGCAGGTCCCCATTGATTTCCATAGAATGAAAAACAAAATACTATGGAAGTCAATGGGGACCAGAAACTGACAGAAACATTCTTCAGAATATCTTTTCTTGTGTTCTGCAGAGGAAAGAAATTCATAAGGGTTTGGAACAACTTGAGGGTGAGTAAATAATGACAGAAGTATTATTTTTGCAAGAACTATCCCTTTCATTTAATGTTATCACATATTTTTCTCACTGTTACACTTGTGGTGTTCTTGATCAAAAATGACTGGCCAACAAAAATTACTTAATTATGCTATATTATTACCAAATATTAGATTCAATATTTTATTATAAACTTGTTTTCTTTCAATTAGCACAGATTTTGTATTTATCTTTGCAACTGATTGTTGTTTTTTAGGAACTCATCATAGACCTCATTGATCTGAGCCTATCCACCTTAGTTTTTAAGTGAATATTGCTAAAATTATCCACCAATAATGCTTTTTTTAACTCAAAAACTGACGTCCATAAGCTCAGATCAATGCTAATCGGCTCCAAAAAGAAATACAAATCCTGTGCTAACCGAAAGAAAACAAGTTGACAAAAAGGTAATATAGCATTTTAGATTTATAAGCAATTTTTAAAAAGCCGGTCATCTTTGACCAGGAACACTAAATTTGGACATTTTTAGCACAGCACAAGGGCTAGGAGAACATGTTTTCAAAGACACAGTTGTGCATATTTAATTCTGTAATACGATTAAACATTAGACACACGATTAAATCCAAATGAAAACGAGAGAAAACTGCTGTGATGTTGGTCACGCTTACTGATTAGTCTAATAATGTTTTAACTCCACATTAAACTTTACTTTATCCTGCATTTGATCATACTGGTCTGTTTCAAAATCAAATGTGATGCAACCAGAGATAAAAGAGGACTGCTGAGGCGTTATCAAATATGTGCAGATATGAGATCAGCTGCATAGACAGATGTGATTCACTTCCGTGCATCCTTCCTCTTAACACTTATTTCTCAACAGTATGTATACAAAGACCAACGGTAGCAAATAAGACTAAATACAGGATATGAAACGAGATGACTTGAGTAAATTGAAGTCAGTTTTTCTTGCTCATTGTGAACAAACATTTCTGCTATTCTGTAATTCTTATTTCTGTTTTTCTCTTTCTTTTTCTTTTTTTAAACGCATACACAGTGATACACATTCATTTCCGTGCTTTTCAGAAACCTCTGATCTGATCCATGTGATCTAAGTGTTTATGAGCACAACCAGGTTCAAAGAACGATATGTGAACCAGCAAATGTAAATATGTGCATGTGTGGCTGTAGAACTGTCAGAATAATGGCACTTACTGTGGCAAATACATCTTTTTTTTTTTTTTTTTTTTTTTTTTATTAATTTTTTAAATGGTTGT